ATTTTTTTTTGTAAATTTTTTAAAATCTACAGTTATAAAATATTTACTCGTTCGTTATCACTTCAATATATATATATATACGCGCATACAATCATATTCGTTGCTGACGCATCGTGAACGGTAGGCCAATGCGTACTATAATTGAATATTACGTTGCTTAAATGTCCATTAAAATTTCTGCATTGCAACGTCATTCTCTTTATTTTGATTCGCAGAAAAATGTCTTAATGAATATAAATCTAAGTTATATAATTTGTTTTAAATTCATATATATAGAATGTCTCAGAATTGAGAATAAATAGATGTAATATTTTCTCTCTGTTAAGAGTTTAAAGTTAATTTTTTGCAAATAATTCGAGATACTAATAGAATTTTTTGCAAACCGAATTTCAAAATTGCAGCTAGAAAAGCAATAATGAAGGATTATTCATTTCTAATTTAAAATGCATTCTACTTTAATAGAATTTTTATTTGAGTTATTAGAATACAAAAAATTGTGATAAATAATGATGAAAATGATTTTTTCCTTAATTATTCGGAATTTTTCCGGAATTATTAAATTTTTATTATTGAAGAGAATTTTCACACACATGGAAAAATTGGCATCTTGAAATTTTCTATTTATTAAAAACGAATTTCAAGTTTCATAACAAATAACATTTATGTTTATTTTTATCGAATCTTACGAACATTTTGTATAAAACAAAAAAGCAGAAACGTAGTGTTTAGAACAAAACGAGTTTTTCCAGATTTATGCATGAAAGGTATGCAAAATTGCGCGCACATTATGTACACATTTATATTTATTATTCTCGCGCATAATAATGTTCACTTACGAAACAACTGAGCAAATGTGCCGGCAATTAGCAGCATCCACACCACGGTCCAAAGTGATAAATTTCCTGCAAAGTACAAATATTACATTACAATTGCATAAATAAATTACAAAGAATGATATATTAATCTGATATTTTTGTAATATAAATAGCGCGGAATGAATTTTCCATGGATCTTTATATAATCTTTCGTGTCACGATTAAGATATATGCTGATAATGTCATGTACAAGTTCCGTATTACATTCACGATGCGGAGAAGTGCGTAATTAACGTCGATTGTAATTTTCAAGGTTACGAAACGTTTAAATACTTACGGTTCATTTTATGAGCCGTTCTCGAATATTTGATTAAAACTCTGTGCCTCACGACTTCGGTGAGACTTCTAAAGCAAAGCGATAACAGCACTGGCTTTTAAAGCGGCTTTCCACCTCTACTTTGACATTGGACAAGTAAGAACGAAAGGAGAGTGCGAAATAAATCGCGATACGCGAGTTCGTCTATAATGTGGTCAGATTCAAGAAAAAGTGTCGATACAGTTTACTTGAACTTGAACGCTTCTTTATGTGACGTAAGTGATAGCAGTGAAATACGGAGATTATGCACCGCTATGCCATCACGTACCTAATTGATATTACGATATCTTTTCCTTTGTATTATGAAATATTTGTTTACTTTTTAAAACCGTGCATTTACTGGATTGTACGTAGTATATTTTCTTGATTATTATCAAAAAATATACTAGAAGTTTAAAAATTTTTATATCATTTATTATCTTAATTTAATCTAATACAAAAAATATATCTATATATTTTAGATATTACTTATAAATAGTATTTTATTTTCTTATTACTTATATTTCTGTTATTCAAGAAATATTTAGAAAGAAAAAGAATTTTAATTTAAAAATCTGAACATGTCTAAAAAAGATGAATAAATTTAGTTTTTGTCATAATTTATTTTTGATCGTTAACTGAAAGTATAATTAATTATAGAATCATATTCATGAAAAACGATAGCTATTTAAAAAATCTACTAATCTTTTTACTATTATTCCTAATCATTAAATCCTCATTTATTATCTCGAATTATTGATTCGTCGAGTAAATTCAAGATTATTATTAAGCAATTTATTTTAATATTTATCAAATTATTTACTAAATTATTTGAATATAAGTGATAGTTAATTATTTATTTTTGTTACGTCTACACATATGCCGGAGGCTTCTTGACATTCTGAAGTTCCAAAACGTATCAGTATTAAATACGCCACTGACAAGTGCATTTTCTTTGATTGTTGTCTTTTGCACAGCAATTAAACAAATTGTACTTGTCATTAGTGGCGCATCTGCAAGTATGTTTTGTTGGCTTTTGTTATATTATTTTATAATTATTGATGAGGAAAGATTTATTAAACATTCTTCATTTTAACAGTCCCTTTTTACATACAGTTTTATACATTGATATTGAATTTATATTCAGATATAAATTTTATTTTTTTTTAATATTTTTAAATATTTATTGAATTTATCTTGCGAATATAGCAGATAGATTAAAATAATATAAATATAAATTGTCTTATTAATTAACAATCTCATGGTCTAAAAAAATCGTTGCCGATCAAAAATCCTTCAACTTTTCTATGATAAAAATTTGCTAAAAATCATATTATGATAAATATATGCTATTTCTTTTTTCTTAATGCAATAATTATTGCTCTAAATTACAAAAAATAAAATAATTATTAAATCAAGTATAAAATTGTAAAAGTATATCGAGTTTATATATGTTTGTTAGTATAAATATAACGCAGATAAAAACGAGGATTAGCAATCTCTTTAGTAATTATTGTAATCATTTCCAAAACGCGGAACAATTGGTTCAATCGGGGTTTCGACGGATTCCAATATTTCGATCTCCGGTTTTTGACAAGCTAGGGCCCCACATCTATTTTTGCAGCATTTCAGGTTTCCTCTGCAATCGTTGTCGCTATTGCAAGTCGACGAACATATCCATCTTCCTGTCGGTATCGATGGGCAAGATCCTGGTTTTTCTATACAAAGAATAATTTAATGTTTTATTATATAATTATAATATGTGATGATTATTATTATAGTTACAATTTTTATTATATAGTTAGTTTATGAGCCTCATATGGTTGACTTATTATTTTTCATAAGTTAATAATAGTAAAAGTAATAAATCAATTATGGGGCTTATAAACTTGTTTTCCTCTCTCTTTTTCTCTCAAAATTTTTTTATTTATTAGTTACAAAAAAAAGATATAAAATATTAAATAAATATAAAACTACATAAATTAGATTTACAACATTTTTTAGGCATATTACTATTAAAGTAACAGTGGAAATTATTGTCAACAAAAATATTTAAGAATACAGTTACGATAAATTTATATCTACTATAATGTTTATTTATATTGAATTTTATTGTAATTCTTATATTATTGCTTTAAAATATTGTGCATCAATGTTACTGTTACAGATCAACAAATAACAAGTCTAAGATGCTGAGAAAATTACTTACCTGTTTGGATAGGCCGCGTCATCGTGACAGGCATGGAGCAAATGGAACCACCGCACCGGGTCGGACAACATTTGCCAATTCCAGCGCAATGTGCGTCAACGTAGCAGGAACGTCCGCAGAATTGTACAGGTAACGCAGGTGGACACGAACCTGCTTTTGCTACATATCTGGTTTGTGTTTTTGCGATAGAAATTATCGCCATAAAGACTAGAGACAGGACTATCAACTTCATTTTTTTGTTGTTTCTGGACACTGTGGCACTTGTTCGTAATCTTGCTTATCGGGGAAAGGCTAAATGCAATAAATATTTCAAATCAATATATTAATTTAAAGCAATAAACAAATTGAAAAATTCAATTTGACAATAGAACTGATGATAAGAATGTTTGCTATAAATATCAAGTAGCAAATGTGTGTGTGGATGCGATATTATAAATTACTTTTAACTAAAACTTGTGAGAATTATTTACAAAGAAGTATTAAATATTAAATTAATAATTGTGTTACACAACTCTGATAGTTAACTTATGATAAAAAAAGAATATATATATATATATATATATATTATACATAAAAATACTATTTTGAAAAACACTTTAAAATGTTTATTTTGTCTTACAACAATAATTGCATTGAGTAGGTAATAAAATAAATGATGTGCATATATCTATTTTTTTAAAGATAAAATAATTATTTAAATTGATTTTTTTCAGAAAATGACGTTTTTTCTTATACTTTTTTTTTATTAGCTATTTCTTTAATTAAGAGATATAGATTGTTGTTGCACAACAATTCTTCTCATTAGCAGAATATTTAATAATCCCTTTTTTTCTATGAATTCAAAAAATTAAGCAAATTTAAAAGAACGATATTAATAGAATTGTTTCACTGATATTAATAGATTTTAGTCTGGATTTTATATTTAATGCTAAATGTAAGAGATTTCTTGAGCTCTATCTTGACTTATCGATTTATCCTTTTACTCATCTTGACCTCGACTTGTCACTCACTATTTTATAATGCGTAACACACTATTTATACGAGAATTACGTCGATGAAAAAACTGCACTCTTCACTCTACGTTTAAAATATACTTGCTGTGATTTCTTTATGTCATACTTTTTTACTGCAGGAGTGTAGCCGGAAGTAAAGGTGATCAAAGTCTTGTCGTTTTTACCACTTAACAGAATGGTACCTCTGATATATATGCCTACCATTCGTCAGCTTCATCTTTCCCCCTCCTATATTATCGCTCACTTTTACACACAACTCTACCATATCATGTGCATATATATATATATATATATACACGATATATTTTATTATTTATTATATAATATCTATTTTTTGGAAAAATATCATAAATATGATCTTTCTTAAAATTACATATCTCTAATCTCTAATATATATATAACTAATTACGTTAAATGTGCTATGCAATCTTGATATATATCTTGACATAGGATATTTGCGTAACTAATTTTGATTTGATTGAGATGACAAATATTCAAAATGCTAGGAAAATATTTTTATAAAATAAAAATAATGCTTTTTTTGTCATAAGTGATAACTTTCTTTAGACCATAGCTGTTCTTTTATTGTCTTAGAGATTTATTAATATTATGCTTACCAGATATGGCTTTGAATGAGATTATATGTTATATCGAAAAACGTTGGCGGTAAACCGCAACCATAATTAGGACTCTAATTAGTTGACCGGAAATAAAGAGGCGGTTTTGGAACCGTGGTAGTCGAGACTGTTTCCTTCGTGATTTTGACGAAAGTATTTTGTTTGTGGAAAGTTATCTTTCCAAGTTATTATTTACATACATGTGTACATGGCGATATATTTTTTCTATAAAATTGAGAAATTATCTTCCCTTAACAAAAATGTTGAAATGCGGATAGTAATTGACCGGTGATCACAAAAAATGGAGATTTTGGCGATTTACGTTGAAAATAAGTAACAAAATTGTATTCATGTCTAATTTATATAATAATAATAGTAAGAGAAAAAACGGGAATTTTTTGATAGAATATTTGTTTATATTACTTACCAAAGAAGTAATATGATTTTTGTTCAAAGCATAAATTATATATTAATCGTTTGCTGCAAATATGATAATTATTACTTGATATTACATTATAACAGATTTGCTTGCATTACACTTAAAGAAAGGAACTTGCATTAACGAGTGATATCATTTCAGTTTCATATTTAGTATTGTCGCGTCTCTTAAATTGCTTAAAAATATACGAAAAAATAAAAGGTAAATTTTGGATGTTTCTCTCTCTATATTTTTTAATAATACATATATAAATATAAAATAAAATTGTCGGCGGGCGTAATAAAAAATAGTATAAAATATTTACGAAATTAAGCACTAGTCTTAAAATTAACGATAAATGCATTCTTGGTACTCAAGCCTCTTCATACCTGAGAAATATTCGAGACGAATATAAAGAATATATGAATAATTGATTTAAATAGGACTAATTAATTTAATATGAATATATCGCGTTCTAATGTCATGAAATGATACAATATTTTTGGAAGTTACATTCGATGTTTGTATAATCAAAGTGGACGGGAGGGTGGGCGAAGGAGGGAAGAGAGGGGAAGTGCAAAGATGCATCCGCAATCTCCAAATATCTGTGATTTAGCAATTCTGTTATTGACATGCAAACTATAAATTTTTTTGCATCCGGAAATAAAAGTTTTATCTACATCCCTGATTACTTAAATCATTTCTATACTAGTTATATCCTTTTCGTGCGGAATAAAGTCTGCGTTTCTGTACAGTTTGTTCAGTTTGAGTCACGTTCTGCATTCAAAAGTTTATGGAAATATATACGTGTACAATTGATTTTGTAATATCTTAATTTGCACTTAGATTAATCAAATTAACGCTTTATTTTGTACGAATAACATGGTACGAGCGAGAGAGTTTGCATATATTTTTAAATATTTTTACACAGTTTCACTGTGCATCTATAAAAATAGTTATGAGCAATGATAGTAGCAATAACTACTGTCTTGCACTTAACAATTATTTTTTTACGTAGATATATATATATATATAACGTCATATATAATTATCGAGCACGATACACGATACAAATGGCTAATGTTTATTCATTACTATTACGATAATTCAGTCAATGATTTTTTTTTGCGTGAAAGAATAAATCATTCAATATATACTTAGTTAATATAAAAACTGTCAGTGAGTATTTGCACATGTTTCAATTTTTATTTTCTACTTCTTAGTAGCACCTGCAACAGATAATAAAAATATATTAAAAATAGTTTTTTAAAATAGTTTATATTTATAATTATATGAATATAGATAGTACATATTTATATAATTATATTTTTATTGTTTATTTATTCTATTTTAATTATAATTATAATTATACATATATATTTATATCTTAATGATTTGTGATTTATATTTTTTTAAATTGCGAAATTGTCTATTACTCATTATAGTATTGAGAAAGCTAATAACTCGTATTTCAGCGATTGAATGATTCAATATGCTGATGTATGATAATCAACAGCTTAGCTTTTTAAATGATTTAATAAGTTAAAAAAATAAGGATTTGTTTTCCAACATGTATTCGTTATGAGTTATAAGACTAAGTTCATATGAATCATTAATATCTTTCTTAATCGCGATTTCCATGAAATTCTTGTATTTTTTCTTGACCTTTAATTTCTGAATAACTGCATTGAAATATAATACAATAGATCAGTGATTCATTTTGCACGTGGTTCAAAATCACGCGTTGTTTGAGACTTAATGCATATCTAAATATATGTATATCCGATTTAGAAAAGAGAAATTTAAATAATTTAAGTTATATTATGATAGTAATTTCAATTATCATATTTATAAATTTTAATATAACTCCATGATTTATTAATTGCATATTGCAAAAAAATAAAACACAAGTAAAAATGAAATTATTGAATGAGTAAAAATGAAATTATTAATGAATTCTACATTGCTAAGGATTATATATATATTTTTCTTGATTTAATTGAAATATTAAATAACACGATAATTATTACTTCTTTGCATTACAAACTGCGTGTTTCAATATTATCATCTATGTGAAATTATGTAATATGAATTAAATAGTATAGGTCGTACCTCTCGGCGGCACAGGTGGTGCAGGCAATTTCTTTGGTATGGCACCGAGGACCTTGACAGCCTCATGACCCATATTAACAGCAAGGTTCATGTATTCCGGCATTCTGGTCTCGATGGCCTCATTCGTATTTTTCGAAATGTTTGTCGTGTTCGCCGGTGCGTGTCCCTCGTCGTATTTCATTACGATTGTCTCTTGACCTCGAATAGTAAGCGTAGAATCGACCTCATCGACGACAGACGGTTTCACTTTTGTCATATCGGCGATATCATCACCGTGATGCTCTTTGATCGCATTTTCGCAATCTATGCGAACGGAATCGGCGGATACGGTTTCGTTGCTCGTGCAATCTGGAATGCACATTCCCGGTTGTGCAACTGGTGGTGTAAAATTCGACGTCGATGGGTCGATGTTCGTATAACTGTTACCGGCGTATTTCGTCGATGCAACTTCTTCTTGATTTTTGTCCGACGAGACATTCTGAATAAAATCGAGATACCTTGGATGTTCGCACGGCGAGTTCGGTGTATCCGGTTCCCTTGGAGAACCGTCCGCTTTAAACGCTGCAAAAATTGAATTACAGATTTATTCTCATATATTTCTGAAATCCTAGATATTATAAATGTTTAAAAAAATTTCTAATAAATGTCTTCCAATTTTTCAACGTTCTTTAAATGTTTTTGGACTCTATGCCGTTTGACATAGTTTGAGATGATGTCTGGAACCGATAGAGAGATAGTTGTACGACTCGGTTAATTTCAAATTACCATGAACGGGTAAACCCGACGGTGGAAACGCGATGTAATACTCGTTGTCTCCGGCCCTGGACGGTGACTGTGTTTGTCGGAGATCGAGATCACGCGCGATAGAGGCAGTCGGTGATGGGGAATACCCAGACGCTGGTGAATATCTATCTGTGAATGGTTTAGGCGCAGGTGGTATTTCGTAGGAGGTCATGCCAGTCTTCTCATCTCTGACATTTTGAAGCTGAAAGTAATTTTAACGTAAATCTAATTTAATAATAGGAAATGGTGCGCTATTTTATAGTTTGTTCTTTTCTAGTATATATTTTCCTTTAGTGTATTTTGTCTCTTCTTTTTTTTTCTTCGAGCTGATGTTAGACAATATAAAAAAAATTGTTTAATCAAAATATTTTTGACAAGCGTAACAAATAAATTAATTAGCGTAACATGTATAAGAGAAATTTGGATAGTGATTGTTATTCCTTTGATCTATTCTATTAATAGTCTAATCATTTAGAATTAATTGATTCTAATTTTTGATGTATTACACATACTCTTCTATCTTCGGAATCCGAATGGGTTCCACTATCGCCCAAGCTGGTGCCACTGCAGCCACTGACAGTGCTCATCCTGCCAGATGAGGACGAACCTAAGAAATTTGATGAAATTGTAAATGAATGCGTGAATAAAGTATCTAATTATTCATATATAGCAATCCACAAATTATATTATAATAACTTTGAAAGATATTTAAAAGATGTTCAATTTTCTAGATATTTCTCAGATATATTTTTTTCTGATATTTCTTAGGTCTTTCTTGAACTTATGCGTGTTTAAAAAAAACATTCTAAATTATAATACTTATTATGTTAGATTATATTTACTGGAAACACTACGAAGACTTAAGCTGCTAACAGGTCTGCGATCAGCTAATCCACCGTTAATACTTTCAGATTTGCTCGAAGACGAGTCGGCGACAATATTAACAGATTCCTTTGTATCTGTAACAAAATTTAGTAGAAAAATTTTAATTATTATTCTATTTTGACTATTAATCATATCAGAATGACTGAAAGGATTCTAAAAGTGTCGAAATGCAATTACACTTGCCTTTTTTCCCTTTGGAGAAGAATTTTCGTATCTTGTCGAAGGGCGTCGGGGTCTTCATCTCTTCTTTCAGTCTTCTTTGTATCCTGTCGTATTCCTCCCTCATTGCCGTAAGCTGTCGTTGTTTATCTTTGAAACTTTGCTGCACGTCGTTTCGCTTCTGCCAATTTTCAACGAGTCTCTCTACTTCGGATATCGTAAAGACGTTAT